CAAAGGACAAACCACAGAGCAAAGGACAAACCACAGAGCAAAGGACAAATTACAGAGCAAAGAATAAACAGGCAGCAAACAGAACCCAGAGAAAGTTGACCTATAATTCAGACAAGGCCAAACCAACGCAAATTACTTCCTGTGACCTGGTGCAGGAGGACACAGCGAGAGAAACGGGAAGGCGGGAACAGGATAGAGAAAGAGGTAGAGAAGGGGGGGGGAGAGGATAGAGAAATGGAGAGAGAGGGGGGGGGGTGGAGTAGGAAAACTAAACCAGAGACTTTTATATTAACTTCATACCGTTTCCTAAACTTGGACACGGGCGGAACTTTGCCAGTTTTGGTCTCTGGCAACATTATTAACGGACACAGCGTCATTACCATAAATGGGAAGGGCGCTACAAACCGCTACATCTATTGACTGCAGCACCGCCAGCCGCCGGCAGCAACAGCGCTGCCACCGCTAGAAAATTACAGAAAATAATTTAATAACCCACGACATTATGTACAATTACAAATTATTTTGCATCTCTTTCCTAATGCACAAGCAAAAACGTCTAAACATGAACGAAATCAGACTCTTAGATATCGGTTTAACTGTGGGAAGAGGCTTCAAAAAGTCATTGACCTGCAGGAACATTTTAAATAGTGGAACATTTTCAAGTATTTTGTTAACGTGTATGAGTACGATGAGATCCTCTAGGGAAATGAGGTGCGCGCGAACCTACGACCTTAGCATTGATGTACATCACGTTAATATCACGGACAAGAATGTAACAACTCTTTTATATATCTCAAAAAAAAAAAAATATGATTTGTGTGTGTTTATGAGTGTGGTCCAGAGAGCTTCCAGACTTCTCTGGAAAGGTGTCGAGAGCGGCAAGTGGGCCACTTTGAGTAGGGGAGGGTGTCAGTGATCACTTTATGAGGGCAAAGCTATTTCTGGTTTCAGCAAAGTATTTATTTTTGTATAGTTAATTTTACTTTTAGTCTATATTGGCGGCATTATAACACCGGAGGACTGTGTAATAGGTTCGTAAACTTAGGGCCCGTGAACCTCAAGACACGCCATGACAGCTTAGCCCACCAGGTAGGAACCAGAGGTGACATGACCGCTACATACAAAATTACCACGGGTAATAGCCAGGAGTGAACAGTGGCCACCTTCCCCCATATGCGTGAAGAAACAGGGGGAATAGGGACGAGACCGCATCCGTTTTCATCCTTTAGCAAATACGACATTCAATTGGAACAAAGTATATGCAGTTGGTACAAACTGCTATTTGTTTCTAATATCCAGCTTTGTATAGCACATTTAACCCCCCCCCCCGGCCACCTCAAACAAACAATGATACTACTGGCCATGAAGACGAAGATACACTTATTAATTTATTTATATACAAGACGGTACATTAGGGGGTTAACAGAACATAGAAATTAAGTTGATTTTACATTCTTGTAAAGCCACTAGCAAGCATAACGTTTCGGGCAAAAACGCTTGCCCGAATATTGATTGAATATAAAGGAGTTCTTTATTTAATCAATAAGTGTGGCTGTGCATGATGATAATTAATGCAGCTCTGGCCAACATAGGCTGCATCAGGTATCTAGACGGTCGAGTTTACAGCTAGAACAGAAATCCCACCTCAGTCCGGACGCAGCCTACACTAACCCTCACTGGATGGGGGGGGGGGGGATGGGGAAGAATTTCATTTTTTTCCGCTCCCATAAAATAGAAGCCAAGTATACTGGCCTAACTAACAAGTTTCGCAAGTAAGAGCACTTATGCATGTAACCACAACACCTTTCATTTCATACAAGCATTCAATTTTGTTATTGGTCAATGTCATTAAAAATTGCGGTGCATCAAATGTGAGGACAGGTTCACTCAGGAAGCCTTAGGTACCGTTGCAACTTTTAAACTTTCTCTCCGTTTTATAAACACTTATCATGGCGTCCAAACTTAAATCACAAATCACCCTTTCCAGCAATACACATCAAACAAATTCTAGCCTAAACGTAAGCCATTTAACATCGTACATGTGTATATTGTTGTGGTTTTTATATTCAATATTGCCTCGGCCTTAAGGAAAAGTCTTGCCAGGCAACTGGGTATTCCCCCGCCATGCACGGGATTACCTGGGCTCGGAAGGTGTGGTTTAGGTGTGTGACTCACTCGAAGTCTAGGGCAGGGTTGCCAGATTGGGCTTCTTGTAGCCCAAATTGAGTAGCACGGTTGGGCTACTTGTAGCCCAAATGAAAAACCAGCTATGTATGTTTTGCTACTTACTACTGTTTTCGGCTACTGTTTAAGATAAGTTGACAGTGTACTCGGAAAAGGAAATCAATCGTTAACAAAAATATTTTGTCTAGTTTTATAGTCAAATTCGTGAATTTTATTTCTTCAGCTCGCGATTTCCAGCAACCCAAATCTGGAGGGTTGACGTCAGTGACTCTCTGGACGTCTAGGGTTGACGTCACGAACGGGGACGTCACAGGGGAACGGGTACTATCAACAGTAACTATCGTGGCTGTAACAATAATTCCTATATGCGTTTCATTTTAAAAGACCCATTTACAAACTAGTAGTGGTAACAATACTAACAAGGTTGTCTAATTATGCAGACGAGGAGTCACAATAACGTGACTGAAATATATTGACCAAACCACACACTAGAAAGTGAAGGGACGACGACGTTTCGGTCCGTCCTGGATCATTCTCAAGTCGATTCTCACAATCGACTTTAGAATGGTCCAGGACGGACAGAAACGTCGTCGTCCCTTCACTTGTCTAATTAACAGAAGGATGTCAATGGAAATGTATGCTGGCCCAATGGATTTGCAGCATACAAACTACCACTATGCCTAGTGGCAAAAGATGCGGGTAGTTGGAGAGGAAATAATATGAAGAACTATGGCAAGTACCAATGGAAATAATGGACTGAATACACACTTAACCCGAGAAATTGCAAAATATCCTCCATAAATTAATTATACATTCAGCGACGGTGGAGATTTTTATGCATGTATGTATTTTATCGGTGGCCGAAGTCCATTGCAACTAAACCCAATCTTTCCTCTGCCTTGTCTAGTATATGTGCACAAAATTAGGTTTAAGTTGCAAATATTTAGGTATGATTGCGTTAGGCTTGTTTACAATTATTACGTTCAGTATACCAATCATTCAACCCATTCCAACTGTTTAAATATGATCTCGGACGCAGGTTCGAATCATCGTCACGGCCCTTGTGGATTTGTTCATTTGATGCATCACGTTATTGTGATTTTTGTGTTTAAATAGTACTTTGTATGTACTATAGTCCACATGGTTACAAAGACGTAATTGAGAATTATATAGAATTTTGGTTCTATTCACGTTATAATCTAAACAAAAATAAAAGAAACCCAAACCTAAATATTCCTAGGCTTAAGGAATAATTCCTAGGCTTCCTTTGGCTTATTCCACCTGTGTATTATATTAGGCCTCAGCGTATACGAGGCCAAGGTAGGTTAGGTGAAGTTTTCTTTGCAACATCAATACAAAAACTTTCCTGGTTTGCTCAAATTCAATAGCACGAGTTCTATCTACTTTCCGCACCACATGGGATGTTGCCAACTATATGAACGCTTTTAGAAACCTAAATCAGGACTAACGCAATTTACACATTTTTTTTTTACACCAGTACTGGTATATACAGCACCAGCATGGAATACGCACTTTGTGAAATAAAGGCAAAATTATAAAATTCAAAGGTTTAAAACGAGATTGGTGACAGAGATAACAGGGCTAAGCTACGAGACTAGGCCAGTGGAACAATCTCAGCCCCTAGAGGAGTGAAGAAACAGAAGGGATATTACCACAATATAACGAGGGAAATAGATATGGACAAGGATATCTTTTTCAAATTGTGATTAAAGGACAAGAGGACATATGGAAACTGGAAATGCAAGCAAGCCGAAGGAATACAAGGAAATACTCGTACCCTGGTACAGCAAGGCTAGTTAGGATCCCGTACATTTTAATAAACAAACCATACATATAAGCCGTCTCTTCATACCCTTCCCTCCTTTACTCTACACGAGTAAAGGAGGGAGGGGTACTCTCTTCCTCACCAAGAAATTCTCATGCATCTTGCCAAGGTAAATTAACCCCACCATAAATTATTTCCCCCGTAGTTACTGATAAGCACCCAGCAATGGTCCCATGGAGATGTAAAGATAGGTGGTGAGATACGAGGACGCTGGGAAGGAACTGCGCTTATTTTTATTTTATTTTATTTTATTTATATATATACAAGAAGGTACATTGGGTTTGTGAGAATACATTGGATAGTACAGTAATTACATTCTTGTAAAGCCACTAGTACGCGCAGCGTTTCGGGCAGGTCCTTAATCTAGCAGATAATTTTAAGTAGGTAATTTCAATCAGAATTGATAAATGAAAGATAACTTTCATTTAACAAATGAAAGATAACACATTTAAAAGATTTAACATTAACTTATCCATTTGGTTCTTCGAGATCTAACGTCGACCTGTATGAAGAGAGGTCGTCGCTGTACTGACCAAAATTGTTGAACCCCATGAAGTCTCCAACACGAGCAAAAATCCCATAGAACCAGGGACATTAATTTACCATCAAAACCCAGCCATGCAACACCCCGCGAGTAGAGTCCACTATCTTCTCGGTATCCTACCCATCGATCCATCTCACCAGCAGGACAACGTTTATAGCACCTCGAGTCACACATCACAGTACTGATAAGCTCAAGCTACAGTGTAGGACTGAGAACACTAGATTTTTCCACCCACAGGGTTATAAACCCATGGAACCGCCTACCCGCCGAAGCCGTAAATGTCAAAACTGATAAATTTTAAAGTCCAACTAGAAAAAGATAAAAGGCAGATGGGGAGGGGGGAATCATCGACAGGCCACCAGCTTCCAGTCCTCGTCGAGGCCACTAGTGTTAGTGGCCCTCAGGTAAATTCAGGTAAATACTCACCCTAGGAAAGTGCGTCCTTCAGCAGGATCTTCACTAATAGTCCACTCGTCGTCTAACTCCCTCAGTATAACGGACACCCGCGAGGCGCTACTCTGTTTACCCCTAGATACTTTAGCCATGGCATTTTTTATAACCGAGAACGGCGAATTGCCATTTTTGCTGCTCTTGAAGTTGTCGACGCCTATCCAGTCCGTAGAGGAGCTACGGTCGTACAACTTGTCATTATCATTCCCGTCATTCGCCAAGGTATTGAGGGAATGATATGAACGTGACAAGCCTGCACGGATTGAACGAATTGATGCCATGATTAGGAGCCTTGATAATTTTACTACACAATTGTTAATAAACTTGCAAAACTATCTCCCGAATTCACATACACAGTTATTGGCCAGTTTGATTAAGTTACACTTTATCGAAGCACCATTTAGCAATAAGTTTCATAAAACAAGGTTACTTTACATAGATATCAAGGCAAACTTTAGTTACTAGGCAGGTGTCATGAACACGAAGTGACGAAGGGGCAGTGGCCAATAAACCAGACACGCGCACACAAGCCCCACGCGCGTGCACTCAACACTGGGGCAGTAGCTACACTCCAGCAAGAACACCGTCCCATTGCCGGCCGCTCACCCACCCCACTGACTACGAGACCAAACTTCCCACCTTGCTCTAAACCTGCCGCCACCACCACACACACCTGTACACACACACGCACACACACACATCCACGTGCGGGAGGAGCCAAGTCTCTCACTCACACACACACACGCACGCACCGCCTCACAGCAGAGGAAACAAAACCTTCCATTTCACTCGATATCCATCAATTATGCACACCAAACGCGCCCCCATACCAACCAACTTACCTTGACTTAAGAAGCGCCTCTTTTGAACTAATCTGGGCTAAAATTCACGCTACTTGAGGCACAAACAGGTTAAAAAACGGAGCAGAAGGAACTAAAACCGTGTGTGAACTGAGCCCGTCGTCGTTTAGAAATAACAGGTGTGGGAGGGGTCGACTCCTGGCGTCACCTATTGGCCGGAACCACAACTGTTCAACACAATAGCTCGCTTCACCTCGGGCACACAGACAGAGGTGCCCACTGTTTGTCTTATTTGTGCCCCCTTATATTACTGATACAAATAACTTTTATTATAATTATAGTTAATTATAATTACACAAAAATATGTAAATATATATATCACTAAGAACTCTCACACTCACTAACTTGCTCACTCACACACACAGGTGAATTCAACTAGTAAAATACACACACACACACACACACAGACACATACGAACAAATGGTTGTTAGAGTATAACCTAAGCAAATGTAATGTAATGAAGATAGGTGAAGGGAGCAAGAGACCTGATACAAGGTATCGATGTTCCAGCATGGAGTCCATATCTAGTCAAGCATAAGACTAAACTGGAAAAAGTTCAAAGGTTTGCCACCAGGCTAGTACCCGAACTGAGGGGTATGAGCTACGAGGAGAGACTACGGGATTTAAACCTCACGTCACTGCAGGAGACAAGAACTAGAGGGGACATGATTACCACATACAAGTTTCTCAGAGGAATTGATAGGGTAGATAAAGACAGACTATTTAACACAAGGGGACACATACACTAGGGGACACAGGTGGAAATTGAGTGCCCAAATGAACCATAGAGAAGTTAGAAAGAATTTTTTCAGTGTCAGAGTAGTAAACAAATGGAATGCATTAGGAAGTGATGTGGCGGAGGCTGACTCCATACACAGCTTCAAGTGTAGATATGATAGAGCCCAGTAGGCTCAGGCACCTGTACATTAGTTGATTGACAGTTGAGAGGCGGGACCAAAGAGCCAGAGCTCAACCCCAGCAAGCAAAACTAGGTAAGTACACGGGGGTCTGGTGGCTGAGTGGACAGCGCGCGGGACTTGTAATCCTGTGGCCCTGGTTCGATTCCCGGCGCCGGCAGAGACAAATGGACAGAGTTTCTTTCACCCAGATGCCCCTGTTACCAAGCAGTAAATAGGTACCTGGGAGTTAGACAGCTATTATGGGCTGCCTCCTGGTGTGTGTGTGTGTGTGTGTGTGTGTGCGTGTGTGTGACAAAAAAAATAGTAACAGTTGATTGACAGTTGAGAGGCGAGCCGAAAGAGCAGAGCTCAACCCCTGCTAGCACAACTAGGTGAATACACATACACACACACACACATACACACACACACACACTTAATACGCTCATAAAGTGCTTGCAGTCACCCACTACCTTTAGTATGCGAAAACTGGATATTTCATGGCAAAGATTTTGGGAAATATGTAATTTTCGAAAAAAAATATTTGTACATTTCTTGAATATTTGTGATGAATTTGTCTCTAAATTCTTTGATTTTTCTTCCACAATTATTCAGACGGTGACGTACAGGGTTTGTGAATAAAGTTATATTTTGCAGTGTAATAAGTTTGCAATCACTTTTACATTTACTCAGACCTTTATCAGCCGGAGGTCAAGGAATATAATCACCGGGAAATGTTTTTTGTATGTGTTTTTTTGGTCCTCGGTGTATATACACCGAAAATTTACTTTAGTATTGAACTTTGTTCAAGTTAGTTTAGTTCATTTATTATGCATCGCATGTCGTCATACCATCATGTGAGTGGTGGTGGAAAGGTCACAGGAGAGCATGACCACTGGAACTCAACTCTAGTATTCGTTTAGCTATTATAAACAAGTTGCAACACTGATAAACTATAGTTACAGATTTTGTTGACGTTCACATCAACAGTCTATTTACAGAGTTAATGTGTGTAGCCTAGTGAGTTTATATTTACCAGAGGGTCATCATCTCTTGTTAGAAATAGCCTAAGCTACTCTATCCCTTTGAGATGTATTTCTTGTCTCAATAAACATACTTGAACTTGAATCATCTCTTGTGGACTCCACGGTGGAAATAAGAAGTCGGCGGCTTTATCGAAGATTTTCCCCATTATTCTCGAGGTTATACGAACCTTATACCCATGCTACCGTACACCACACACCCATGCAGCAGTCTAAGACTAAAGTATACTTGCTATGGCTGGTCACTTACCGATTGATTGATTGATGAAGATTAAGCCACCCAAAAGGTGGCACGGGCATGAATAGCCCGTAAGTGGTGGCCCTTTTGAGCCATTATCAGTATCAAGAGCTGATACTGGAGATCTGTGGAGGTGCGACTGCACCCTGCGTGACGGGAGATGTCTCCCTTGTCGGTCACTTATCTATTGTGATGTCCTTATATAACCCTCCCACGGCTGATAGGCCTAAAGATAATCGTCAATCGTCTTGTTTGACAAACTCTTCAATTTAGGCTGATTATTTTTTTATGGAACATGAGCATACTATACTTTCACTTCACCTGCTGTTCACCCAGCAGTGAATGGGTACCTGGTTGTTAAACGATTTGGCGGGTCGTATTCCGGGGATGATTAGGAATAAGGCGTGCTAGTGGCTTTAGAAGAATGTAAGAACTCTTGTATATGTAAATAAAATAAATAAAATCTAACAGGATGCACTCAAGTTTTCCGCGCCATCTATTGAGCAAACTTTTCTCCAACAGGTTGCCAGATAGCTCCGAGGCGACACGGGTGAGAGGCGCGTGTCTCCCCTCCTGCTCAACACCAGGGATCAGCTGTGTGTTGCTGGGAGGACAACACAACAACAACAACGTACTTCGTTGTTCAAGATTCGCTACTCAGAACAATAAGTTCCAGTAGCACGGGCTATAGTGAGCCCCTAGGAAAGAGAACGTACTTCCATTGGCGCTCGTTTTTATACTTACACAAGGCTAATACTCTGGTAGCACAGGAGAGACGAAGACAGTAAGGTACACATCCGCACTGTGCTCTCTGTTTATGTCCTGAACCTTTTGATATATATATCAACGGCTCAGGACATATATATATCAATATCAATTGATGTACTGTATATATATCAACGGTATATATATCAACGTTGATATATATCTGCCTTGATATATATCAACAATATATATATCAATATATTATACATTATAAATCATTCAGAATGTTTGTAACTCTGCATCTATGTACGTTTCCTAAATAAAATATTATTATTATTATTATATACATATTGATGTCGGCAAGACTTAAGCCTAAGGAATAGTAAATTTATTTGTAATAGTAAATTATTATTGGATCATTATGCAATTATAATCATAGCCAATTATGCCCCAAACTGTCCTCTCACTTGGGCTGGAGGGTAGAGCGACGGTCTCGCTTCCTGCAGGTCGGCGTTCAATCCCCGACCGGCCAAGTGGTTGGGCACCATTCCTTTACCCCCGTCCCATCCCAAATCCTTATCCTGACCCCTTACAAGTGCTCTATATAGTCGAAATGGCTTGGCACTTTCTCCTGATAGTTCCCTCCTACCCTGTCTTAAAATAATTTAATGATGATAAAATGCCCCAAACTGCTGCATAGTCCATGTGTTACGGCCCTCTTGGGTCGCAACTGGGTTCTTTCTCTGATGTTAGTAGAGCTTGGGTATCCGGCCCCAAGCTAGTAGTGGCTTTCAAGGGGTGTGCTCCGTAATGCAAGTAAATTAAAGGGGAAGGGAGACAAAGGCAAAAACTTAATAATATAATTATCACCATCACCATAAATAATATATAGATTATCACACGGGGGAGGTATAAACACTATTATGTACAACGTGGTCTTCCTCTGAAGACTCTGGACGTTCACGGTGCTCAAGACGAGTGGTCCTGGTTCTCTCGTGGCCTCACGATGAATCCTTTGATTCCCTCGACGAGTCTACCCCGGCCACAGGCCAGCCAAATCACAGTCCCACTGGGTGCACCGTCGTGGAGGCCGTCAACCACAAATCCAGCCTATAGCTGGCAGGTTCCAATCAGCCACGCTGTGTAGGCCACTCCACGACCGATACTAGGGTTGCGAGCCCTAGTCAGGAGCCTCGTGTGATCCCACAGAAAACTCTCATCACCACAACACCCCAGTGGTTAAGCGTCTCCACCAGTCAGCCCCGGGTACGACAATCCCTCAACTGCCACGTCACAGGCAGGCTAACACCACAGTGTTCATCCGGGGGGGGGGGGGGGGGGTGACTCACAGCTGCTGCAGCAAACACATGGAGACTCTTCGACTGCCTTGGGTAGACTGATCCAACGTTCATTACAGCAGTCCCAGGTCGACTCTGTAATCAGACACGTCATCAGTAATAGGGACACTCTAGGGCACCTCACTTACAGGCTTAGACACAAACGCCCACCTATCCACTCCATAGATGGCGTTGCTGTCTAAGCTCCACCTCACCAGAGGGCAGCGGCTGTGTTATGAGCTGCTTAGGACGGGAAACTAGCCCTCGTGGCTGGTATATCCTGTCCTCACTAGATGGCGCCGTCCATTTGGAGGGGGTTTCGGGAGCTGACCCACAGATGGCGCGGTCGTCACTGCTCCGTGCTCGGACGCTGGGCTCGGGTCCGTAACACCATGCGGCGGTCTCGCAAGGTCGAGATGATGCTTTAGATTACGATATGGTTTCCAATATACTGTATTTTATTATTACGCCCTCACGCTTTTATACACAAATATTAAAGGCACAATCTATTAGTCTTATTATGGAATTTGTCATTTGTTTTGTTCGTTTCAGAACTATACCACTTGTGACATGCTTTCCAGTATTAAGTGCATCAATTTTCTCAGTACTTTTTCTCATATAATTGTCAGCATTGAAATGTTTATGAACTGCTGACTTTTCATTTTATTTTGAAAGTTGTTATTTAGGTCTTCCAGCATTGTATGTGAATCTTCATCTGTGTTTATTGCCCTCCACGATGTAGGACAAGAGCTTTCTTCTCTAATACAGTACATCAGTTTTTGTGCCACGAAATGCTTTGCTCAGCTCAAAGTGGCTTTATAGATTGCGTAACTCCTGCCCCCTAAAATTTGTACATTACTCCTGTTCTTTGTACACACACATTCTTTTGAATAAACATTGTATTGTATTGTAGTTTGCATGAAGATTGTTCTGTATATTTTATGAGTAGTAGTGTAGCCAGATTACGATAGACTTGATATGAGGACTTTTGGCAGCCATGGATGGATGTTGCGATAGTGGGTGTCAGATGATTGTGTCTGATACTGTTGTTTTCTATGGTTATTATTTATTTTATTTATTTAATTATATACAAGAAGGTACATGGAGTTAGGTTGTTAGTTAAGGAATTTCAGCTGCATGTATTGTTGAGATTTGGCCTAACTTTTTGATACTGGAGATATTTAGTCAATACATTGACTACTTGTTATAGAAGTGAGAGATCTCTTAATATCTGTATGTGTTTGATGTTGAAGAGTGCTTTCAGGATGCATGTAGAAAAAATTAATGAAAAAGTTTAGTTACAAAATGTTTTAAAATCTCTAATACTGTATCTTTTAAATAAAAGCATAATTAATGTGGTTAGAAAAATTGCAGAAATTAGCAAATGTTGTAAAGATTTTTGACAGCAACAAAGTTTCTTCTAAAACTGAGACAAGGGTCTAGGGTAAGCATGAATTGATTCATTTGAGAGAAAGTTGCACTGTTTGTTGACCAATCCACACAGTAGAAAATGAAGGGATGACAACGTTTCGGTCCATCGTGGACCATTCTCAAGTCGATTGTGACAATCGACTTGAGAATGGTCCAGGACGAAACGAAACGTCGTCGTCCCTTCATTTTCTAGTGTGTGGATTGGTCAACATACTTCAGCCAAGTTATTGGGACTCATCGCTTGCACTGTTTGGTAAATTTGAGGTTTCAGGATGGCTCCACTTGTGATTGTACTCTACTCTAATGTGACTCCATTTATGGCAATCCCTTTCCTGTGCAATAACTTTGACCTAATAGTTATTACACCATGTAATGCCATGTACCTCTACTGTGCTTACCAGTCTTTTGTGTAGAACAATGTTATTTAAAGGTCTTTCTAGTATTTAGGTACTGCATATATGATTATCTACTTGACCATTGTCTTCTGCTTTAATTGTATTTGAAAAAGACGATTTGTCAAATATGATCAGTTACATTTTAAAAAATGTAGACTAACCCCGAACCAATCGTATTTCGCATTCAGATTTTGCAAGTTCCATATTATCTTGCAGGTATTTTGTAACTATTATTACCTTAGCTCAGAATGCTTTATTTTCATCATTAAACTTCATTATATATATATATATATATATATATATATATATATATATATATATATATATATATATATATATATATATATATATATATATATATATAATATATATAATACTGTATATATAAAATATATATATTTTTATTAGTCAGCTGTCACGGGCTGCTTCCTGGGAGGTGGAGGCCTGGTCGAGGACTGGGCAGCGGGGACACTAAGCCTCGAAATCATCTCAAGATAATCTCAAGATAGCCGGAGTATCCCTCAAGCTTACAAATAACAAGTGTAGACTTAGCATTTTCATTCATAATGAGCAACACCAATGACCCAGAGGGCTTGCCAGAGCTCGAAGGTAAAACAGGACACCCAGGAACTAAGGGTGCTCACCTGAAGTACTGACACCAAATGCTGCCCTTAAGGTAAACACGACTACAAAGATGGTGTCAGTGGCATGCCTTGTATACAAGGACACGAACCCTAGTGCACCTCTTAATCGGTTAAACCCAGAATGCTCCCAATTTCAGAGCCTTGCAGAGGAGTCATAGACCCTTGCAGTACTAAGAGCAAGATGCCTTACACAGTTGGTTGGCCTCTATGGGTCAAACTCGAACCCCAGCAGGTTAGTTACAATGTCAGGGTAGGAACATCGTCAAATGAGTGCCTAGGGAATGGGTTCCCAAAACACTTGCAGCTTGAGGTGAACAATTACCAACGTCTACACAAAAAGTGAGGCTTGCAAACATATGCACTTGAAGCTAACAATGAATCTTGAAATGATGCATAAGCAAATGGGCTCCCACAAGACAGAGTCCAAAGGATACTTATCTAGGAAATAGTTGGGACCCATTTAATGCTGTTATTTTATAGATTTAAGATGAGATGACTTAAAAGATGATTTGTTATTGTAAAATTTTTCTTCAATATGAAAATAAGAAAATTTCAGTCTGTACTCATGTTTATATCTGCTGTGCTGTACATTTTTGTTAACAATTATTTTCAGATTGTTGCTATGGCTGGCCCAACACGTCAGCAAGTTCTCCAACTTTATAGAGCACTGCTTACTTATGGCAGGACATTGGAATTCACTGATCAAGAATACTTCCATAGACGAATCAGGCAAGAATTCCAACAAAACAAAGAAATTACCTCTGCTAAAGAAAGGGCATTCTATTTTGAAAAAGGTTTAAGTTTTCTTACAAAGCAACGGCTTATTTAGGCTTCTTTATTCTGTCTATATATTTACTGTACAGTAATATACTCATACTGCATTTTAAAACTAAAAATATAAATTCTGGGTTATGATTTGGAAACCTGAACTAGTGTGAAAAGATCAAAGTAAAGTGATGAAATATTTTGTGTATCACTGCAACTTCCTGTCTCATTCACATTAGTGAACACATTTGCCAGCCTGTCCTCATAAACAAAGGCCAAAGTCCATTCCATGCACCCACCAAACCCCCCTGTTTATAAATGAAAAACAGTTTACACATGACTCGCAACTGATGATGTTCGAACACTTCCGGAACAAGTGCTTCCCTGACAACTTTGTTCGAACCACAACGCAATAAATGCTTCACCCACGTACTACAAATACACAGTGGTCAATAGAACCTAAACACCTAACCTAACCAATGCCTAAATATGTACAGTATGCTAGTATATAACACTACTGTATTAATATATATAAGAAAATTCCTATTTTGAATGAACAGCATGTTAAAATTGATGAATGCATTTTTGGGGTCGACAGTTGGATAGAATGGACTTGGTCTGAGGACGGGTTCCATTAGCACATGTCTAGCAAACCATCTTCAAGCTTAGGGATCACACAATGTCACCATGAGTGGCCACTGATGCTGTGCAAAGTTGCATAGCCTTTGCAAGTGCTGGAAAATCTTCATGATGAAGAGGAGTATGATGCAAGTACTACACTTGAATATTGTTCATCACCAGCTGAAACAAAAACAAAAATATTTTCATTAGAAATGAAGAAATTCATCAGAAGAAAAATAAGCGACCATCAACAGGGAAAGTTAGACTGAGAGAGTGTTTTTACTGGCAGACAGCAGCAGATCAGTTGTTTGCTTTCCTATTTTGCCAGTTATTGCTTGTATGATGTTGCTCTTTCGCCTTGCAAAGAGCTGGTCCCTTGGTTGTTGCTTAATTAAACTTGCTACCATCTTCTTTTCCCTGCACACATTTGCATAGATGCTTGGCATGGTTTGGAACAATGTCATAGTCTGAAAGGTGATAAGAGTACCTGGTAGAACATAATGCCTCCGATTCTGGGGAAGTAGTTAGAATCTTGTGGTTTGTCGACAGTGTAGGTATTGAAGGCAGGGTAAGGCCCTCAACCTGAAAATGAGAAAATCATTTGTTATACAGTAATGAAGTGACTTGAATCAACAATTGGAGGCACACTTGGCCACGCATCTTGCCCCCCATACCGCAACATGGTAAAAGTAGTTCAACCTCAGATTCCACTGAACCTACAGGAAATGTGGAGGCTTCAACTAAAGCCAGTCCAAATCTTGCATATAACCCCCATGCACTCTGGTGTAAGTAAAGCACTTTATCAATCATACAGCAAAGTGCATGGATGTTGTGTGTAAAACTTGGACTGACTTCAGTAAAGACTCTAGACTTGCCTGTGGGTTCAGTGGAGTCACAGGTTGTATAATTTTGACCATGTCATGGTACAAGGGCTAGGTGCAGGGCTGAGAGAACCCTGGTCGCTGGCTCGAGTTGCCTCATTGCTCCAAATGATTTTCTCATGTACATATATATCAATCACATTAGTGTGATTTCTTTGTGTATTTCAACTTGAATGTTAAGTGATGAAATTTTTGTATAGGAGATCAAATTAAATGGATTCTGTTTTGTAAGAAAAATACTTTAATGTACTTATGATTGTAAATAAAAGAGAGAATTCATTTCAAATATTTATTTATAACAAAATCTACAGAGTTGATTAACATGCACTTTAGTATTGGCATCACAACAGGTGAATGTTAGCCTATGCAACCAGTACACCTGTATTTGCACAGCATCACCTCAGAGTGCGACGCGCACACATCAACCCACGTTCTCTCACACACATACACTATTATTTTTACTTTAGTTCATATTATGAACTAGCAGTAGTCATTTCTACAACACATTTTGGGAGTTGCCGACATACACTAATATTCAAAGGCTTTTCAACTAACATGACTTCCTTTGGATAACTTCTATGCAGTAGTACATTCTTATGGACCTCCAACTCTGAGAACAATGACATACGGAATCTTATAAATTTTCAAGTAATGTAATAACCAAAATGGTACAAAAAGATTGGCACTACTCAATTGAATACAGTACATGTATACATACAAATGGTAAAGCTTATACAACTATCAAAATGAAAACTTCCTTTTAATAGTTCTGTTAAGGTCATATTTCAGCAAATTTTATGATTCATTACCCCTTGTATTTGACATACTGTACTGTAGTAGATTGATCATATAACAGTTTATGTAGGATTTTATTAGTACAGTATTTTATGAAAAAAAACAAAAAATTAATTAAAATACAGAAGTACAGTACTGTAATGTAACACTGGACTAAATTAGTACTGTACATGTATTAACATGTTCTTTAGAAGCAATTGTATAATAAAATAATACAAACATAATGGGTACATTACGTATGCATAATCGCATTCATTTTTTTAAAGGCTGTTAGGGTCAGAAACTTGAAAAAGTGTCGAACTGAAGTGTCTGAAGGTAAAGAAAATAATGTGCATCCATTTTTTGCATAAAAAAGAGATGTGAATGTTTGCAGTCTTTAATAGTAGATTTTTACCTTGTTAGACATTTAAATTATATAATGATATTACTGCTAATAATAAAATCACTGGGTATTTCACAATTCAGAATACTGTGATAGTTTTTTAATTAATGTTAACCTTTAGGCAGTGGCTGTGGAGAAATGGTCATACCTGCAGGCGATGAGTCACAATAATGTGGCTAAAGTATGATGACCAGACCACACACTAGAATGTGAAGGGACGACGACGTTTCGGTCCATCCTGGACCATTCTCAAGTCGAAACGTCGTCGTCCCTTCACATTCTAGTGTGTGGTCTGGTCATCATGGTCATACCTGCCTATGCACAAAAAAAATTTATTTATATTAGTATTAATAATCTGTATGCAAAATGTAAGAAAAAGACGAAAATAAGTGAATATTTATCGTCTTGCTGGTGGAGGCACTCTACAAGGCTGTGTCTGGCACTTGTTAATGCCTGGTGCTCAACGTTGCTGACGCTTCCTGTTTTATCCTCTCGTGTTTCACCAATTCTTTTACCACTTTTTTTTTACATCCACAGAGAGGTATTATATCCATATTTGCATCATACATGTAAAACAAAGACAATAATTGTTGAAATCGTCATATGACGATGACCGCATTCCCTTAGTAACATTCATGATGATAACTGCATTCGTTCCATGAAATGGTAGGGTTATTTTCATGGGTCAAAGTAAACTCCATTACATCCACATAACCTTATTATATCCATATTTGCATCAGCATATTAAACCCAGACAATTATTGTTTAAATAATCTTTTGATGATAACTGCAGTCCCGTAGGGTTTGTCAATAGATGATAACCACAGCCTATGGGGTTAATAACAAAATCATAGGACTGTATTAACTGATTTTGTTTGCATTTCTCCTTTAAGATTTGTTGCTTTCAGAAAAAAAAAAACATTCTTCATATACTAACACCTTTCCATGAAATTGAATGTGTCAAATTTGTCAGAATTTCAGACATTAGTATACTACTTCTCCTATCTTGAGGTTATCTTGAGATGATTTCGGGGCTTTAGTGTCCCCGCGGCCCGGTCCTCGACCAGGCCTCCACCCCCAGGAAGCAGCCCGTGACAGCTGACTAACTCCCAGGTACCTATTTACTGCTAGGTAACAGGGGCATTCAGGGTGAAAGAAACATTGCCCATTTGTTTCTGCCTCGTGCGGGAATCGAACCCGCGCCACAGAATTACGAGTCCTGCGCGCTATCCACCAGGCTACGAGGCCCCCCACAACTTGCACAAAGGTGTTGCACATAAGATTAATTTAAACTAGTATCCTTCTCCACATGTTGCATAGTAATTATGCATTTTTACACTGACTCGGTTGTCACATAAATGAAGTAGACACTGTATCTGTTATTTTGTGCTAATGAACATGTTTAAAATGCTGGCAATATTAGATAATGCTGGACATATTTTTTTGAAGGTTAAGGTGGTGTTGTTTAAGAATGCAAAGTTGACTATTAGACAGTTTTGGGGCATAACTGTGTGTGTGACCAAAGCAAATGGCAACAGTGAATGGAGAAACTGTTTTCTGTGTCAGTAAGTCAACAGATAACTAAGGTCTCCAGATATTGATTACCAGCAGCTCCTACTTACGGCACTATAATGTAACTTTAAATTATGCAAGTGATTGAATTTAAATAATATTCACATTTTGACAGCAGTTTTTGTAAATATTGTTATCTTTTAAATACAGTTTTCTAATTTTGGCTTTCCCTTCAGTGTAATATGAAGTACAAAATGTTTGGGGGTAGTATTTAGCCATAATATCATGCTGCTAAATAATTAGTATTACTCTGTAAATAATTCATACTGTATATGTATATGCTTCTGAATCATTTGTATAAGCATATGAAAACTAAAAGTTTACATAAATCAGCCCTGACAGGCATTCTTATATACTGTATTCTCTTCATTTCTGGTACCTAAACATTCTTTAAGCAAGTTTACACCCACACATACACACTAGGTAATTACACACACGATGGTTGGAACAAGTTAAGTGAGAAGATGGTGGAGGGCAAAACCGTCGGTAGTTTCAAAGCGTTATACGACAGAGTGCTGGGAAGACGGGACACCACGAGCGTAGCTCTCATCCTGTAACTACACTTAGGTAATTACACACACACACACACGCACAAGCGCGCTTCTCATAATAACATGGAATGAAACATATGGGTAATTTGATTGTTTTGAAAATAACACTTGCATTTACACACAACCTGTAGCATCTAGAGATACCATGGGAATAAACATGGTACAATAATATGGCAAGAAATGTTTGAGTGTTAACAATAACCTTAATTTCATTCATGAGTATTAAGTTTATACAGTAGATGGAGTTTCTGTTATGGTACAGTATGCTTCTGAGCACACATACAATTGGGTATGGAAAGATGTGCGAGGATTGGAACCACATTTGTGTCTAATTGGTGCAAATAAACAGGACACTTATGATGAGTCTTACGATGAGTCACAATAAAGTGGCTGAAAA